TTTTTTTTTTTGTACCAGGGATCAAACTCAGGACCTTGCACAGCACCACTGAGCTACATCCCTGGCCATCCACATGTCTTTAGTTGGCATGGTAGCATCTCGGCTGGGTCTGCAGACTGTCAACCCTCTGACATGCGTGGTCTGGGTCTCATCTGCAGCACTCTAGGTGCTTGTGGGCCATGCGGGTGGGGCTCGTGTTATCCACAGACACTGTGAATGCTCCATGATGTCCCAAACTTCAGCCTTGCCAGAGGGTGTCCTGGTGTGCAGAGCCAGGATGACCAGACTTGATAGCTGCCTCAGGTTTGTGTGCCATGTCTCTTTCATTTTTCTTCTTCTCTTGATACAGGGCCAAGCACACCTACAAAAAGACATTGCTGGAGGAGGTGCAGGAGCTGGAAACCAAGTCCAGAGTGATGGGGAAAGCAATGCTGAGGGACAGTAATGGAAAGAGGTGGGCTGCTGCGTGCAAGAAAAGGACCCAAACTCCCCCATCTTTCTCCTACTTTTCCTTCCTTCCCTTCCTTCTTCTCATCTTGGTTTTCAGTGGCAGCACAATGTGCTCATTTTTAATCATTTTGGGTATTCTCTAAAAATGTCATCGTGGCAAGGTTTAAACTGAACTTTCTTTACAGCCACATGAAATCTGACTTCCTGGCTCACTGGGCCTGTCCTGAGGTAAGACTGGGACTGTGATTCAGTGTGAAGACAACAGGGTAGTAGTATCATTTTCAGGTAGGAGAGTCCAGATTTAGTAGTATTACCAGAAAGGATCTAAAAGCCATATCTCTAGATCGCAGACCTAATCACTGCACCCAAGAACAAACATCTCCTGTGAACATATGTGCTCAAAGATACATGTTTTAGTTGTTTGCGTAAATCTTTTACCATCTACTTCAATATATCTGAGATAGGGGTATTTTTAATGAATTATTACTTTCTGCTGGAGTTATGAAAGATTGTGGGAACTTCTGGCACAAAAGTTGCTAGTTGCTGCCTTTACCTCTCATGGAGCATTTGCCTGCTGTTCCCCACACTTAATTGTGAGTAATATCTGTTTTATCACATATATTAAAAATGCTCATAGAGTGCATTTGTGTGAAATCTGTGTGCTACCAAAGAAGATTTCTCTGTACTGAGAATGCTTACAATAATAGAAAACCACTGCTGTATTAGAGATATGGGATGTCTAGACATCTCTAAATGCTTAGAAGGAAATCCATAGCTAACTATGCATGAAACAAGCATCCACAAATGGAATACTTCTAGAAACTACTCCTTTGTGCTGCTTGATATTGTATTTATTTGGGGCATCGTTTAAAGCAGTGAAGATAAAGCAGGGGGTTGTTATTTATTTCCGTGGGTTTTTTGTTCTTTTGCTTTTGTTTTCGAGACAGGGTCTCACTACGCAGTTCTGGCCGTCCTTGTACTCAGTAGGTAGCACAGTCTGGCCTCAAACTCACGGCAATCCTCAGCCAGCCTAATGCTGGGATTATAGGCAAGGATCACCATGCCTGGCCTAAGCAGATTTTTATGTTTAAAAGGACAGTTCAGGGCTGGGGAGTTAGCTCAGTGTGCCATAACCTGCCTCAAAGTACAAGGTCCTGAGTTCGATCCTGATACCAAAAATTTTTTTAAAATAAAAGGATGATTCAAACATTTTAAGAAGTTTTAGGAGTATCATTTCAAATAACTGTTTATATTTTAGGAAGGGGATCTTGATCTAGGGGATCTACGTGATTGAAGTTTTGGTGTTTGGTTTTATTTATGTCTTACATTTTAATAAGTATATTAAGCATTCATTTTATGGCAGCCATGCTAGTTACTGTAAAAATTATCAATCAATAAGACATGTACATGTTCATTAAGCTTAAAATCATGGTGATTATTACAGAAGGTTGTGGCTCCTAAAGCATGGTTAAATCTCTTATCTATTAGAGGGTTTAGGAGCAAGGCTTAGCACCTGTTAGGTTTTCAAAGACGTGCAATATTCTTCAAGTCCTGACAAAAAGCATATTTATAGACTTCACATTAGGCAGTAGGGAATCCCAGTAAGTTGAAATTAATAAATATTTAAAACAGCAAAATGCATGTCCATCTTAATACCTGTTAATAAGCACAGTAAATTTTATTATATTTGGAAGCAACCTACAGATTTTCTTATAACTCAGAAATTCTCAAGTATATACAAGATTGCTAAAGAAGCATAAATAATTTCTAAATAAAACAAGAATTTCTCTTCTTTTCTTTTTTCTTTTTAGTACTGGGGATCAAACCAAGGGCCCTTGCAAATACTAGGCAAGTGCTCTACCCCAGAGCCATAGCACCAGCCCTTAAATGTGAATTTCAAAGCAAAACTGTAAACCCCAAACATTGCACAGAAAAGCATTATCTATAAAGTGATGTGAAAACGCTGTTTCACATGTTTTCTCTGACATCATGGGACACCGTCCCCTTCTGGCCTTTGTGGTTGTTAAACAGGCCTGGTGCCGGGGTCATTCCCATGGACATTCAGAAGAGGCAACCCAGGAGACACATGACTGGAACAATCAAGAAAGACTTTGTGTTGGAGACAGGACGGACACCAGGGCTATGAGGATGCACAGGACTGAGCAGGCAGCAGGGAAGCACCTGCAGCAGCAGAGACAGACTGTGCAGGAGCGAGGCCACTCCACTGGGAGGGCCACAGGCTTGTCCCAGAGATTTGGAGCCTGGCTTTGAATACTGAATGACACACTTAGCCCTGTGACTTTGGGCAAGACAGTCACATAATGAGACTGTCTCTTCCTCTGACATAGAAGAAGGCTAATACTTTTTGAGGTTAGGGATAGGGCTTATGAAATAACACATACAACACAGCATGCTATGCTGCCTGAACTACTGCAGGAATGCAACACATTAGTCATGAGTCGTTCAGTTTGGCCAGGGTCATGGCGTTGAACGGAGTTGTGCACTGTCAGCCTTGAAGGAGAATGTATACCTCCATCTCTGCCTGTTGATCAACATTTGCGTGTGTGTGTGCGTGTGTGTGTGTGTGTGTGTGTGTGTGTGTTTGCTTGAGATACACATAGGCCTCATACCAGTGGCCAAACACATAATTTTAAAAATCAGCTTTTCCCGTTCAAATTCAGTCTTTAATATTCAAGTGGGTATCAGAAGACAGGATTTAAATATCATTTTCTACCTGTTTCATCTAAAAATACATTTTCTTAACCCTTTTCAGTAGGTATGACTGTGTGCACGTCTGTATGTGCATATACGTGTGGGCGCACCCCACTTAGTTAAACTGTTGTTCTTGTCTCCTGGCCCCAGCTTCTTCCTGCCTGCTACGGGACTGGGAGCCAGAAGATAGAGCCAGCCTCCACTCTGCAGCCCATCCAGCTCCCCACCCTTTGTTTTTCTCCTCCTAATTGCTCCAGATTTTCTGGGTGGTCCCTCTGGGAACTAGATAATGGAGGCATGCTGCTCTCTTTCAGAGACAGTTTTGTCCTGCTTGGCCTCTTGAGAGCTGCCTAACAATTGTTCTTTTATCACTTTTGTTTGCTTCTTTCACACCTGCTTGGGTTTCTATGCACTTCAGCTGGGGGGGGGGCTAGAAATTTCAGCTGGGTTCTTACTTTTGAAGAATTTTTATGGATTCCTTCTTTGAGATCCTGGGGGGGGTTGCCCCCTCTCAGGTTGTCTTTCCATCCTTTCTTTCCCATCCCCATCTGATTTTTCAGTTTACCCCGTAGCTCTCTTACCTCTTAGCTTTACACATAGTGGCAGCTCTGTAGGTGTTTGTTGACTGACTAGCTGGATGTGCAAAACTCCAGCAAGGTGGCAGGAAGGAAAGGAAGGTGACTGATGGGCCAGCTCCTCCTGAACAGGACCACAGGGAGACTCTGAGAGAGAGGTGGTCTCCGGGTCTCCAGGGAGAGGATGATAATATCATTGCTTAAGAACAGAGCTAACATAGAATCCCGGTGGAGAGGCACTTGTCACACCAGAGGCAGGTGTGACATTAGCACCATGCTCCCTGTGTAAAGATGCCAAGGAAGGTTGCGAGCTGGACCTGTGTTCCTGCCCACGCCTGGCCTCCATCCAATTTCCCAGCACCCTAACCATGAGACTCATTCAGCTCAGCGTTGACACTTTCCCTAGGGCCTCAGGGACTTTCCGCCAGGTCTCAACGTCTGTGTCCCAGTCACTGGCAACTCTTCCAAGCAATTTTTCTTAGAAACATACTCAGAGGAAACAGAACAAAAATTTTTAGGCATTAACGTTAGGAAAACCGCTTGTGCCAAATTTACAGTTATAATTTTGACACAGTGGCTAGAAATTCAAAGTTTCCTGCCAAGTGGTGTTCATTCAATAAAATACTTTTAACGGAACATTTTAATGAATTTATCTAAGTCCCAAACTTTATATTCATAATATGTTAAGTTCTCATTAACATGTTTCTATACTTTCTCGCTAGTACAACTTGACTTCAAATTTTCCCGTGAAAGCTAGGGATAAGTAAGCCTCTTCTTATGATTTTGATAAGACAACCTGACAGTGAGAAAACCTGAAGCGGAGAATCAAAGATCCAGAAAGTGTGGTCAAGTAAGAAAGTAAAAAATGCTTCAGTTATTAAATAAAAAGACATATTTTGACTTTGGCATAATCTTTTAGAAAGAGGCTTTTTTTATTTGATTCAAGTTTGTGTGAGTGTGTATGTGTAGTTTATGCACCTCATGGACCCTAGATAGTTACTAATATTTGGCTCAGTCCAGATACTTTTTTTTTTATTTTGGTACCAGGGATTGAACTCAGGACCTTGTGCTTGCAAGGCAGGCGGCAACACCACTGAACTAAATCCCCAGCAAGTCAGGGTACTTTTGAAAGCCATCCTCCCCTGGAATTCTTACAGAGTAGAGTAGCCTACCCAACATATCATTATTTTGAGTGCAGCTAAGAAATGAAGAGTTAAATGAAAAAAATTCCTCTTTTCAACATTTTGGTAATATTCTTCTATATTGATTCCTAAAGTGTAACTCATGAAATTTTTTTCTTCTGGTAGAAGAAAATCTACCCATGGCTACTTACCCACCTAGATGCAACATAAACAGATGTCCAAAATGTAAGAGGACACATTTTTAAATTTTTTTTTCCTTCCTTGGCATGAGGCAAGGGGTACTGCATGTTTTAAGTGCTGTGGCAAGCAAAAAAAAAAAAAAAAAGGTGATTATATTTGTTAGGAACATCTAGTTGTTCAGCTATGCTTAACGTGAATGAACGAGACCCTTGTTTTATTCCAGATCATCTTTCCCTTCATTTATCATAGTTGTTGGAAGCAGAGTAGGGCGGGCCCAAACTCATTTTCTCCACACTGAAAGGGAACTGTGATGCTCAACAACTGGGCCACGCACACCGAGAGATCCGACTGTAGATTTTTATTTAGGGGAGCGAAGTGGAGAGAGGGGACAGAGG